GTGTGTGTGTGTGTGTGTGTGTGTGTGTGTGTGCGTGTGCACTTGGATGGGTTAATTGCAGAGCACAAATTCTGAGTATGGGACACGATACTTGGATACACATCACATCACTTTTCACATTAAACTGATCTAAAGTGACATTAAAGACATTTGCCCCCGGTTTCACAGCAGGGCTCACAAAATTTCTAAATCCCTGGTAGCCCTTCAGGCAGGCATTCTTCAGATTTTAGTAGCCCAAAAATGAATTGAACTAGCACGAATAAAAGATACTGTATTTTTTCTGCAAATAACAAGTCAAGAGAGTAGGGGTGCAACGGATCACAAATCTCACGGTTCGGATTATATTACATTATCATATCACATTCTGAGTCACAAATCGGATCATTTTTCAGATGAGCAAAAAAAATATGGTTCTTTATTGTTTATGTAACACTTATTATTTAAAGAACAATTTACTACTTCGATACCACAGCAAAAACTAGTAGCATATAGGGATGTAACGATTCACTCAACTCACGATGTGATATATGATTCACGATACTGATTTCACAATACAGTTTTCTCACAATTGCTTTAACAAAATTAGATTTTAGCCAGATTTGAAAAAATGTGTCCTTTTGTTATTTCTCAGACCAAAAGGCTGCACATTACTTTGTGAAAATGAAAATGTCAAACAATATACTTAATTATTTAAAACAAATCCCAAATCAAACAAATAAATAATAATAAAAAAAAGAAATGTCTCCATGCAAGTAAACTAAGGTTTTGCCTGTGTATTTTAACCACGATCCAAACAAAGATGCTGCATACATGTTATTTAGATTGTAAAATTTGAAGCAAAAACTAAATGGTCTGACTTTACCTTTGTGATACTATATAAAAAATCTGAACGAAACAAAAACAGCAGACAGGCTGAATGAGACGCAAATGTCACTCTCTGACAGCAGGTGGCGCTTAAACAGCAGGTATATTTATAGGCTGCTGCCCCTTTAAGACCGAATGCACGGATCCAATATAATGATGCACTTGCGATTTCTTTCTCCACTGTTTACGTTCAAGACATGAAAATACTTGCCGAGATAGTTATTTTGAGAAAATTTTGCGTGTATGTGTCCGTTCAAGCGAAAGAGGAATCAATTCTGTGTTCGTGCTCTGCCTGAAACGCCGCTCTGTATGTGCGCACGATCACCGAACTGAATTCTCCATGCGCATGAATGGTTTAACCACGCTTGAATGTTTAAATTGGTTAGACTTAGAGACACGTGTAAATGATAAACTATGATCCGTTTCACCCCTACGATCGAGTGAACAACGCGAATTAATGAGGGGATTTTATTTCACTATTCAAGATAGCCCATCTGGCAGGGCAGTGGTACATTTTGGTAGCCCGACTGGAAAACACAATAGCCCCGGGACGTCGGGCTAGCGATTTTGCGAGACTTGCACCGACAAGGCTTAAGCCTAGTCCCAGACTAAAATGTAAGTCTGAGCTGTGTCAACTGAAAGAAACTTGCACTGACTGATCTTAAAATATATCAGTGCCTTTGTTTTGTCTCAAGATGCACACCAGTAATGTGTTTTCTAAGGCATGTTTATGAAAAATTACTTAAGTGTCCTAATTGAACTATGGCCTAATCCTGGTTTAGTCTAAGCCCTGTCTGTGAAACCAGGCCTTAGAATGTTACAAAAGATTTTTATTACAAATAAATGCTGTTGTTTTTACACAAAGAACCTCGAAGAATGATTTATCACAGTTTCCACAAAAATATGAATTATGAACTGTTTTCAACATTGATAATAAGAAATGTTTCTTGAGCACTAATCAGCATATTAGAATGATTTTTGAAGGATCATGTGACACTTTGCCGTCACAAGAATAAATGTATTATTTAATTGTAATTATTTAACTATTACAGTTTTTACTGTATTTTTGATCAAATAAATGCAGCCTTTGTAAGCATAAGAGACTTTACAAAAGCATTTTAAAAAATCGTACTAACCCCAAACATTTGAAGGGTAGAGTGTGAAAATATACTTTTCATTGTCTACATATTACTCTTTTGTGGGCTTGAATGGAGAAAATGTGTCCCACCAGCTATTCAGTGCTCTAATGCTGCATGTCTATTTGATATCATGGTCAACATGTTGTACCTGAATGTTCCATGTCAGTTTCCTCCTACCTTTGACATTAATATTGCATTTCTCATTTTTTTTTTTTATGCAGTCCAGAGGGAACACCTTTTGAAGATGGTAAGTGTCTGTCGACCTAGACACTAGATTAAATACATGTGTAAAAAAAAAAAAAAAAAAGAGTAAAATGTGTTTCTTTCATGGAAATTAAAGATATAATGTTTCTATTCTGCACACAAGGTACCTTTAAACTCACAGTTGAGTTCACAGAGGAATATCCAAACAAGCCCCCAACTGTGCGGTTTGTCTCAAAAATGTTTCATCCACTAGATTAAAAACATGTGTAAAAAAAAAAAAAAAAAGAGTAAAATGTGTTTCTTTCATGGAAATTAAAGATATAATGTTTCTATTCTGCACACAAGGTACCTTTAAACTCACAGTTGAGTTCACAGAGGAATATCCAAACAAGCCCCCAACTGTGCGGTTTGTCTCAAAAATGTTTCATCCAAATGGTGAGTGATGCTTCTTGTTTGTCTCTGGTTAGAAGCTTTGTCAAAAAGAATCTGACCCCATTTTTTAATACACTCTCATGTAGTATGTTCCCACACAGAATCTGCTGCTGTTAAATTCATTTGTCATTCATTGTAGCTTGCAAGCTTTTATTAAATATTTTTGCTAAAATTAGTTTAATAAAGATTTAGCAAAAATATTTCATACATTTATGCTTGCTTATGCATTTCTTTGACGGTATTATTAACTTTATTACACTATTTACTCTGAAGATGTTCGGAGTTACCATCAAAGTTATTGTTGTGGTATTTTGTGGTCTGGGAGGGATTGTACAGAATTAGTGAGTGTTGTTTGGTTGCTACATTCTGAAAGGTTATTCATTTTATCATAAAAAGAGTCATGCATGTGTTCTTGATTGAATGTAGTGTAGTGAAATGTTGTTCTAACTTTTCTCTTGCTGTCTTTCTCAGTGTATGCTGATGGCAGCATCTGCCTAGATATTCTTCAGAATCGGTGGAGTCCAACTTATGATGTTTCTTCTATTCTGACATCAATTCAGGTATGTTAATTAACTGTTTTATAGTCCTTTTTATATTAAACAAAACTGCTTCATGTAGCCTATGGACATTATTGAATCTGAGAATTGCCTAATTTGAATGCTCATATTGATTTTTTATTTTTTTTTGTTGGTTAAGAGCAGAGGTGGGGGATTCGAGTCACATGACTTGACTAGAGTCGCAAATTTAAGGACTTGTGACTTGCTTGACTAAATAAAGAAAATGTCTTGACTTGGACTTGAGATCCAGTGACTTGAGACTTGACTTGACCTTCATGACTCAGCAGGACTTGACTTTATAACAACTCTAATTATTATAAATCATTGCGACATAATTTGGTAAACAAAACGCAAGCCACTGAATCAGTGGCAGAAGTGATCAGAGTCTGCGCAGTTCATGACACTGCATGAGCACAGTCAGGAACACATTGCGCCAAATACAGGGAGCAAGGGAATCTCCCGAGATGTTTGGATAAACACTTCGAAACTGTATGCATTTGCTGTATGCATTTACAAAGCCAGGATGTCACCACTTCAAAAAGGAAAGGTATGCAAGCTTGTTCGTTAGTTGAAAACAGCATTGGTCTTAAAATTCAGCTTAAGTTTGTCATTAAATTAAAGTGATTATAAATATTAATCATGTGTTTGTAAACTTTAAATTCATTGGTGTTTGCCTCTCAAAACAGTGCTTTAGTGTCAAGTATCCCTCTATGTAATCAATATATGGAATTGTACCACGGAAACCAGTGTTTTATCGATTAGTGATGTTTCTCTTGCACCCAAAATCCAAGGTATGTTGTCAAAATGGCTCTAGTATGAGTTTTTATATTTATAACAAACAATATTTAGTAATATTTTCAGCGTGGCTGCCAACAGTTCCGTTCAGCCCACAGCTAAAGAGTTACGTGCGTCTCTAAGCAACACACTGAACACTGAACGAATCGGTTGAGTGTTTCAGTGGCCCATTCTTGCTTGTTCATGAACGAATCAACTGTTTAGAATGAATTCAATGAACGCTTCTGTGATAAAGCAGTGATTTGCCACCACTTACTGGCGGCATTAAAGGCACAATATGTAAGATTTTTTTATTAAAAAAAGAGCGTGTCTATAGTGTCATTGTGTCGCCTGCCAATGCCGTCATAACCCCTCGATTTCCGGTTTTGTTTTGTAGAAAACATGGAAACACCAAACACGCTTTAATATGTTGTGCGTTTTAATAGACCATGACGACCGCACATAGTAGCATTATAACATAACTGTCAAATGTATCTAGTATGATTAAACCGGCGCTGCTTTTTTTCCCCCACATACGCACGACCGGAAGAAGCGGAAGCAGTCGACTGTGGCATAATAAAAGCTCCGCTGCTTTCGAGCCGTGTGTCGCGCTCGTACAGCGGCCTCGTTTCACTTCGCCGGCTTTCAGCCTCACCCTGCTTCATTCTACTACGTTAATAAATCATTAGCTCATCCATGAACATGATTTCTGCCCGAGTCCCGTCGGATTGCATCGGCTGTGGGGATGAAGACCACAACTCCCATGATTCCACACTCAGTCACAGCATCATCAAACTAGCCTTTGCTGCTTTGTTTATTTTGAATACGCGCCCTCTAGTGGCGAAAATTACATATTGTGCCTTTAATGTCATAGAGTAGGCCTATCATTTCATTTCATATTTCTGTATTCCATTTTTTTTATATTTTAAGTTCCAACAGAACAAACAAAACAGAAAGCTTAGGCAGACCTTAAATGCACAGCTGTCAATTTAGTTCTTATTAAGATAAAATCAAAGAAATCGATAAGTTACAGCAATAGGCTTCTTGTTTTGAGCCATGACAATAGTTTAAGAACAATGTAGGCATAGGCAATCATGCAAAGTGAAAGAAACCATCCAAATAGGGTGTCTATATCCGATGAAAATTTTGGGTCCATTTCATTTCTGATATAAGGGGTGATTTGTAGTCAGCATATTATTTTAAATTGAATAGCGTGTTTTGTTATACACTGAAATTCTTTAGCGTGCTCCCAGACTGAATCCCAATCTTCGCTGGAGATATTTAGTGCAAAATAATTTTCAAACATCTGTTAAATATTATCTGTGTCTCCTAGGATGGTCAAACTCAATATAACAAATATGAGATACATATTTTTATCAATATTTTCTAACTTCGACTTATCGGTGAAGTAGTATTTTGCCTATATTCAAAATGTTATTTTGAAAACATTATTTAAAATGTATAATTAAGAAAGTTAATTTCTGAGGAAAAATGAACAAGGTTGTGTGGCAAAAATATATTTGTTCCTGTTTGATACTGTGACTTGACCCTTAGCAGGACTTGACTTGACTTGCTTGAGGTGAGCCCTTGACTTGACTTGCTTGATTTGTTTGTACTGTGGCTTAAGACTTGAACATGTGTGACTTGCCCCCACCTCTGCTTAAGAGTGTGAATGGTGATGTTTCAGTTTTGCTTGTAATTGCACTTTCCTTTCCTATTTGTTATACTCTTGAGGACTAAAATTAGATTTCTCTCTCTTTACAGTCCCTTCTAGATGAGCCAAATCCCAACAGCCCTGCAAACAGCCAGGCAGCACAACTGTATCAAGAAAACAAACGAGAATATGAGAAACGGGTTTCAGCGATTGTAGAGCAGAGCTGGAGGGACAGTTGACCACATTTACAAACCATGTTCTCACTGAAGCATTGTTTTCCTTTTGTTTGGCTCTGTTGTTTGGGGTTAGTTTTTCAAATCTCCATTTTTAAGTTTTTATGCACTTTACTCATGCAAGATTGTGATTTCTGTTTTATTTCTCTCCCACATTTTTGCCTGGATTGATTTTCAACCTTCATTAAGATCACTGAAAGGGGAAATGCCCCTGGTGTATAATGCTTGACTAATTTTGCATATGGCATGAACATGCAGTAATTGTCCTTTTTTGCCAAATGCATAAGCATCTCTAAAAAAAAAAAAATCAAGGCAGTCTAATCTGGACACATGACTCACTAAGACTTTAATCTAAGTCATAGTAGTGTTGATAATTTTCTTGGTGCTCTTCAATTTTAGTATGATTTCGCTCAAAGAGCAGTTAAAAGTGTCCTTTTAATTTCGGTTTTGCTTCCATTTTTCTGGGTTAGCATTCGTTTTGTTGGTTTAGACCGCTCTTCTTGGCTCTGCCAGAGGAGGGTTGGTATGCTACCACATGAGTGGAGAGCATCTCTAGTACACACTGAAAACACATATAAGATGTTGGTAGATGGGCGTGAGGATTTATATAAAGTATCAAATTATTGTTGACAGAAAATGGCAATATGGCGTGGAGTATAAAATATATATTTACTGGTCGAAAAACTGAGGTTTGCTGGAATTACTAGGTTCAAAAATATCCTCCAAAATCCAGAGATGCATATTAACTGCAGTTACTTAATCTTTTCATGGCTTGCATCACAAGTCCAATCAAACAAGTGAAATAATGTCTTCAGGTCTTTTTCCAAGCCCTTTGCAGATGTATGCCCTGTTACATGCATGAATGCCTGAGTGTGTCCTTGCCTCTATTAATCTCTTGTATATACAAAAACACATCTGAATTTTGTGTACAGATTTTGCACTCTCATTTTCCAGCACTTGTAAATACTTAAATAAAAGGTGAAAATACCTTTGTAATGCATCACTGATACTTTACACCTTATTTCATCCTTTCCTAGTCTGTAGCAATAGCAGAAGTCTTTTCTATTTACTAAAACGTAAGAATATTTTCTCTTTCTGCTTAATATTTTTGAATTTAGAACACAAAGTTAGGTGAAACAGATCACGATTTTATTGTGAGAAACAGTTCTGGAAATCATGGGAAGTGAATCATGCGACATCGGAGAGCTAACGCAGCCATATAACAAGGTGAACAAATCACTGGTCCACATTTAAGATGTACTTCAAAGCAATAGTTCACCCAAAACTGAAAACTTGCTGAAAATTCACTCGCCCTCAGGTCATCCAAGATGGAGAGGAGTTTGTTTCTTCATCAAAACAGATTTGGAGAAATTTAGCATCACATCATTTGCTTACCAGTGGATCCTCTGCAGTGAATGGGTGCCGTCAGAATGAGAGTCCAAACAGCTGATAAAAACATCACAATAATCCAAGTAATTCACACGACTCATTAATGTCTTGTGGAGTGTAAAGGAAAAGAGTCCATAACGCTTCTTCCATTGAAAACGTCCATCCCCTGTTGTCCTCACATCAAAATCCACTGACATATTTTATATTTTTTTTACTGTTTTCACTTGTTAACTTATTGCGGATGCTAGAGGACTAGTATTTTAACCAGCAGGTAAAATTTTTCAGTTTTAAGTTGAAAACGTCTTGATGGATTTATTACAAATACGCAGCTTTTCGTTTCATAAGATGCCAGTTGGACTGGAGTGGTGTGGATTATTGTGATGTTTTTATCAGCTGTTTGGACTCTCATTCTGACGGCACCCATTCACTGCAGAGGATCCACTTGTAAGCAAGTGATGTTATGCTCAATTTCTACAAAACTGTTCTGATGATGAAACAAACTCATCTACATCTTGGATGTATTTCTATGAAATTTCCATTTTTGGGTGAAATATTGCTTCAAGGCCTGATTTTTATATAAGCATGAAACAACACTACATTAAGCATGGTTTATTTTACATGAACATATGTAGAGTTATGCAAGGCATAAATACAAAACTGATCATTGAAAATAGTAAAAATGAATTACACTGTCTTACGGTTGAATGAGCAGAATACTTCCGATGCTGTAGAACATTGATAACTAGGTAGCTGATAAGTGAACCCTATCAAATATATCCCTAAAAGATACAGCTACTAACCAATGACCTCTAGTCTGTAACAACATCACAGGTCCTGGCCTCTCTCAAAACTGGATACTAAACTCCTAAATAGAAAAATATCACATGGCAACCAGGTACACCTGACGCTACCTGTTGTACGCTCGTTCTTTCTTAGACCTCTCTAATGCTTTGTCCATTGTCTTCTCATTGTCTCCTCTGCACTTCGGACAGTACCATTTTCCTTTGGGCTTATGGTGCAGGCCGACACATGAGAAGTGAAACCACTCAATAGTGCATTCATCATTATCACAACCTATCATCTCTCCATAAGACACTTGCTCACACAGACAATAAGTGGGTTCATTGGGATCGATAGGCAGGTCTGTCGGCGATGGCTCCCTGTCCTGCTTGCTTTTCGACCTCTTCTTCTTCTTCGATGACGTGGATGAGGTCTTAGCCTTCTTCTCTTTCGGCACACCTGAACCAGCCTCCTCATTGTGCTCCATGCCATAACTGGAGTTTTCCCGGTTCTCCGAACCATTTTTCTGCCTTCGTGAACGCTTTCCACCAGATTTGTCAACTGAAGCCGGGGTCTCTTCTCGTCTCCGATCCACACTCGGTTTACTGACCGGGAGCATCGAAGCAGAAACCGGTGTCATAGTTACGGTTGTCATGGCACTGGGGGTGCTACCCACCGACACGGTGCTCTCCGGCGAGTCCTGGCAGGCCTGGAAAAGCTCACTCTGCCACTCAAGCTGCCGACTGCGATTGTCCATCATTTCCACCATTTGGCCTGCGATCTGGATCTTTTCATCTCCGAGTTCTTCTGTGCGGATCAAAGAGCGCTGGATGCAGTGAAGTAGACGCCGCCTCTGCACGGGATCTGATTCTTGTCTGTGCTTTTCATAAGCCTCGTCCAATTCATTGAGGATCTCTGCAAGATCAATGCATCAGGATTAATGTAATACGATAATAACGGCACAATGTTTACTGTTACTGTATGTCAGTCTATACACCTTTATCATTTTAACCTCCAAGAAAAAAGGCAGTAATTGTGACAACAAAGCTATATTGTCTCAAGTCAAGACGCCACATGTGAAGAAAACACATATTAACTAACAAATATCACCATATTTGATTAATTACAGGACAATAACATTACGTTTTCTGAAATGTTATGTTTAAATATACATATGTGGATTTATCAAAGTAAATATGCACAAATTTGCACACATTTCCAGAACCAAAATCTGAATTGAACAAAACCAAATGCAAACTTATTTTTTAACAGAGGGGATTTCGGATGTTTGATTATGGGGGAATCATGTTTTAGGAATAAAATGTGTAATTACCAGGTGAATTGTATAAACACACGCCTCTGTAAAAACCTTCAGAATATAGATATGAATAAAACTCTAAAGTTTGGTAACGTTATATGTAAGTGCTAATGAAGTGGAGATTTCTGGCTCAGTGCAGGAGAAAAAAATTATAATTTTGAAAGATGGCCTTAAAATATGTATTGCACTTGAAATCTACAGATGCAAATAGATCGTGCATAGTCAAATAAACACGTACATGTGTATTTTTGGATGTTTTCTTTCCACTAGCCTGAAAAAAACATGTTATAGAAGCAAAATAGCCCAAATCTCAAAACTGACCAGTGCATGGAATAAAAACAATGGTTTTGCCTGGAGCGTCTTTGCTTTAATATGTTTGTTTACACGTCTAGACACAGTCGCTGACCATATGCAACTTTATGTGCTGTCTTTATAATATTTTAAGTACTATTTACACAGCACTAACACACAACTGTGATTTCAAGCTACATTATTTAACGTTAAAAAGGAAGTTTAGTGGCGCTCTAGAAGCTGCAAGACTCCACACTCCATCCAATCAGGATGTGTAGTGATTTCATACAAACCTTTACAAATGTAAGATATAAATGACAAATAAATTTACTCTATATTTGATAAACTTTGCAGCTTTAACCTCTCAATCGCGCGGCGCGGGGAAACTTGCAAATTTCACGTGCTAACGGTTAGCCGCTAGCCAGCTAACGTTAGCTAGTGTGACATCTAACACCCGCTGCTCAAACAATGCAGTGATTTTTTTTGTACACTTCTGCTAAATGCAAGAGTCTGTAAGCTTTCACCTTGATATCTGGCGTCAGTTTCCTTCATGAGAGACACACATCTTTGTAGGTCCAGCGGCAAACACTCGACCAGCTCCAGATACTCCTCAACATAGTTCACCACAACATGAGAAGACTCTGCGTTTGAAGAAGGGTTCAACATCTTTTCGCACGCATTAAAGAGGCTGGTAGAGCAATATGAATACGTTTCTTAATAGTTATATTATCCTAGGATAGTTTTTGTTTAAATAAAGGTCTGGGCTGCTAGAAAAGTTACTCCGATAAGTGTTTAGTGAGTTGTGCAGGACCAGTGACGCTTCTACGGCAGAGACCTAGCTCATGAATATTAATTGCCTCACAGTGACGTTGCTCCATAACCTTCCAACAGAGTGTCTCGGTACGCCAAAGCTAATTAATATTCAGGAGCGAATCCTTTAACGTTTGCCACAGGGTCGTGCAATGTCTGCTGCATATTGTTGCACTTTGAAGACGCTTGGTGGCGTTTGGTAGCAACGCTTCAACAATCATTTCAGAGGAGCTGGTAAATAGCATTTGAAAAATGGCCTGTATGTTTGCGTTAGTGTTAGGGTTAGGCTTGAATTTAGTGGAATATGGGTTGCAGTTTATGAAAAGACAGGAGAAACCTGGTCTCTAGACTAGTTGGCTTAGCTCATCTTCCATTTATTTGTGTTTGGAGGGTTTAGAGAGTTATAGTGTCTTATATTATCTTGTAACATTATATAAACTGGGACTTGTAGCATTCAAATGTATTTATTTATCTATTAGAAGATTGGCTGCATAATATTAACATTAAGCATTTTTTCTGTGTTATATTGTGTTTGCTATGGAGATCACTTGACAGCAAAATCCTGAAACACCCTTACAGCATCCTCTGCATACATCAAATGTATAATGTAACAAATGTGTTATTTTGTGTTTCTCCCTTCTTGTCAATCTTCTATTTGAGCTTTATTATTAAATATTTAAAATCAATTACATTCAGAGTAGCCTACTGTCAGTCAATCTAAACACCTGTGAATCCCTGTAGTTTTTAATGTATGTTAATAACTCATTAAGACACATTGAATTTGGTCCTCTCTAAATATCCTTTAGCTGCTTGGATAATTTACATCTTATGCTGAAAGGTGAAAAGTGTAGTCGAGTTCCTCTAACACCAAGAATGCCCTGCAGGGGTCACTTATGTTAAGGCAATGAGGCTCTTAATGTTGTTTATCCTCAGCTTAGTTGTTTACTGGCACATCATGTAGATATTCTTTTCTCTTGAGTGTATTATTGTGGATTCCTTGTTTCAGTTACAGCCCCGAAGAGAAATCCTAACGAGTTATCCTATATTTTTAACAGTTGTGAATGACCTTTGAAAATGATAAAAGTAGTTCTTTGTACATCTGTGTTATTAGCAGTAAAAATGTCAGATGACTAAAATGTCATAATGTGCAAATGAGAGGGGAAACAAATGTAAAGTTCTCCAGAGGCCAGCACAGTCGAGTCTCCTTGTCTTCCGTGCTCTGACCCGAGTGGTGTCGTAAAAAATTACCTCTTACACATTTCAGTGTCAATGGAGAATTCAGAGTTTGGACAAATTAGGTTACTTTCCACATTACGTTAATGTCAAGAATCGAGGTGTAAGCGTAAGTGAGGTTTTGCGTAGACACTCTCAAGCTTTTTTCAGGATTCTTCAGGATACTTTTCTTTATAAAAACATCAAAAATCTTACTGATCCCAAACTTTTGAACGGCAGTATAGACAGACAGACGGACGGACGGACGGATAGATAGATAGATAGATAGATAGATAGATAGATAGATAGATGGTAACACTTTATTTTATGGTGTTGTTGCACGTTACATGTACTTGCTATAGTAATAACAATAAATTATGCAAAATTATATGCAACTTATCCTAAACCAAACCCTCATCCTAACCCTAGCCATGTAGTATGTAGTTAATGTTACTTAGTACTTAAAAGTATAATTACACTGTAACAAGGACACCATAAAATAACAATATGTATGTAGAGAAAGAGAGAGAGAGAGAGAGAGAGACAGAGTGATGTGTATGTGTGGGTACAGTGGGTATAGAAAAGAATCCCCCCCCCCCTTTTAAAATAACCACATTTTGTTGTTTTGCAGCCTGAAATGAAGACGGACACAGTTTTTGTTTTATCCAGCTGTATTTACTCAGTGCAACTTATATCATCCAAGTGAAAGATAAAACACCAACACGTCAGAAAAAAATAAAAATAAATAAATAAATAAAAAAGAGTTGGAAAAAGGATCACCCCCCTCCTAAAAATGGCTTGTAAACTCAATCAGGTGCAGCTAATCACCTTCTCAATGCCACACAAAGCCATTTGACTTGCAACTGTGATCAGCTGTGGTCATTTGATTAGCTCAGCATGAAAAGAGCTTTGCTGGAGCATTTCAGTCCTTGGTAGTGCAACTGAAGCAAACAATCAACTCTGGGTGGCAGGGCACTGTCAAAAGATCTCCGGGATGAAGTTGTGGACAGGCACAAGTCAGGAGGTGGATACAAAAAAAAATCAAAGGCTTTATCAATGCCTAGAAGCCCAGTGAAGTCTATTATTAAGAAGTTGAAGGTATTTGGTACAACACAGACCCTCCCTGGATCGGGATGTCGCTCCAAACTGGATGAAAGAGCCAGAAAACTGGTCAGAGAGTCCAAGAGACCTGCAGCAACTCTGAAGCAGCTGCAGGAATTTGACAAATGCCCCTTTCACACACACAGTCTTTACTGATAAATTACCAGTAAATTACCATTAAGAGATCATGTGTGAACAGGACCTTTTCAAAAATACCGGTAAATTCATTAAGGCAATTTAACGGTGTGAAAGAGGCTAAAGAGTGGTCATTGTGTGTATCTGACAACAAAATCACAGATTCTCCACAAATGTGGCTTGTATGGGAGGGTTGCAAGAAAAAAGCCACTCCTCAAGAAAGGCCACATGCAGTCACAACTGAACTTTGTCAAAACACACCTTGAAGATTCTGAGGCAGATGAGACTAAAATTGAATTATTTGACCTCTACACCAAACGATATGTCTGGCGGAAATCCAATACAGCTCACCATCCAAATAACAGCATTCCTACAGTAAAGCATGGAGGTGGTAATATCCTGTTATGGGGGTGTTTCTCTGCAGCACGTGTCAGGATAGAAGGAAAAATGGATGGGGCAAAATACCCTCAAATTCTTGAGGAAAATCTGCTGCCCTCTACCAGAAAGTTGTCAATGGGAAGAAGGTTTACCTTCCAACATAACAATGACCTAAAACACACAGCAAAACTGAACACACAGTGATTGAAGGAGAAAAGGGTGAATGTCCTTGCATGGCCTCATCAGAGCCCAGACTTAAACCCCATTGAAAATCTGTGGAATGACTTGAAGACTGCAGTCCACAAACACTCACCATCAAATTTAACTGAACTTGAGCAGTTCTGCAAAGAAGAGTGGGCAAATATTGCAAAGTCTAGATGTGCAAAGTTAGGAGAGACATATCCCAACAGACTAAAGGCTGTAATTAAAGCTAAAGGTGGTTCAACAAAATACTAACACAAGTGGTGCTCCTTTTTCCATCTCAGTGATTCTGGTTTTTATTTTATTTATTTTTTTTCTGACATGTTGGTGTTATATCTTTCACTTGGATGTTATAAATTGTTTGTGTGTGTGTAACAAGTAAACCTCTTCTTTTCAATTTACAAGTAAATTTGCATGTGTTATGAATATGCAGCCCAGAAACAGATGCAGGAATTTCTGACAAAGAGTGGTCATTGTGTGCATGTGACAACAATATCACAAATGTGGCTTGTATGGGAGGGTTGCAAGAAAAAAGCCACTCCTCAAGAAAGGCCACATGCAGTCACAACTGAACTTTGTCAAAACACACCTTGAAGATTCTGAGGCAGATGAGACTAAAATTGAATTATTTGACCTCAACACCAAACGATATGTCTGGCGGAAATCCAATACAGCTCACCATCCAAATAACAGCATTCCTACAGTAAAGCATGGAGGTGGTAATATCCTGTTATGGGGGTGTTTCTCTGCAGCACGTGTCAGGATAGAAGGAAAAATGGATGGGGCAAAATACCCTCAAATTCTTGAGGAAAATCTGCTGCCCTCTACCAGAAAGTTGTCAATGGGAAGAAGGTTTACCTTCCAACATAACAATGACCTAAAACACACAGCAAAACTGAACACACAGTGATTGAAGGAGAAAAGGGTGAATGTCCTTGCATGGCCTCATCAGAGCCCAGACTTAAACCCCATTGAAAATCTGTGGAATGACTTGAAGACTGCAGTCCACAAACACTCACCATCAAATTTAACTGAACTTGAGCAGTTCTGCAAAGAAGAGTGGGCAAATATTGTAGTCTAGATGTGCAAAGTTAGTAGAGACAGAGACAAATCCCAACAGACTAAAGGCTGTAATTAAAGCTAAAGGTGGTTCAACAAAATACTAACACAAGTGGTGCTCCTTTTTCCATCTCAGTGATTCTGGTTTTTATTTTATTTATTTTTTTTCTGACATGTTGGTGTTATATCTTTCACTTGGATGTTATAAATTGTTTGTGTGTGTGTAACAAGTAAACCTCTTCTTTTCAATTTACAAGTAAATTTGCATGTGTTATGAATATGCAGCCCTTTGCCATAATACCCAGTTTATCAATATCAATCAATCAATATTTCACAATATGTTTTTATTCGATTTTTATTGATATTCTCTAACAACTTTTTGTTGTTGTTTTCTAATAGTCATTACTTTTACTTATTTTAGGCTTTTGTATTTACAAGGTGTATATTTCACTTTTTAATTAATAATCTTGCAGTTTTATTAGATTTAGCTTTTATCTGTCAAATGATCAGATCTCAGTGAATTATGGAGCCAGAACCTTTCCTGATAAATATATTAAAATCAAATAAATATATAAAATATAGTAAAAACTTTTTAATTTGCACTTCTATTGTATACATTTTGTAACTTATAATTCAGTCTTTTATCTTATTTTGCAAGCTTATGCTTAATTATTTGTAATATCTTTGTTAAATCTTAATATTTACCATAACATGCTGTTAAATGATTTCAGAAAATGTGGTTTTCAGGCAGTGGGTAATGGGTGCAGGGTTTGAAATGTTAGGATGAATGAGTTCGTCAATACAAATGAAATAAAATGCTGATGGTGAGCTACCTGGTGAGTAAAGCTGCTACCTGACCTCAGTCTGAACAGATACAATCTCTCTTTCACTCTCTCTTGCAAACACACAATAATGGCTTTGCAATTTATTACATAAATCACAACAGATTACCATAAATAAAGGGTAACAGAAGACCTGAATAGTTTTTGGAACAGTGTGTTTTATGCATCTCAGTTCCATTCTTATTTCTTTTAGAAAGGATTTGTGGACTTTGTGACATTTGTGAGACATCTTCATGTAACTTATAGTTTTACATTTGCCCCAAAAACATTTGGATCCTTAAGCCACACTTAAAACTTTATAAATGTCATTGCATTATATAACAAAATATCAACTTGAATGGCATTTATACAAAAGAAAAATAGCACAAGCAAAATGTTTTGACTTTATTTTTTGTTAACTCAGAAGCCAAATAAAAATGTAGTGGCATCTTCATTTCAGACAAAATAAAACTAAGAGGATAAAGGAAACGTTTTAATGCACTATTTGGTGCTTTTGCTTTAATTCTTAAGATGCTCTGTGTACAATTAATGTCAGCAGTTCTCAGGTACACCCTCCAATTTGCTTTCTTGTCGTGTCGGTTTTTGCTGTCCACATCCTGTTTATCGTCCATATTTCTTCATCTCTTTGTGGGTGTCTCTTCCTTCATTCTGAGACAAAATGTTATTCCTATAGGGCGTAGGGAATGGTTGGAGAAGGAGAACAGAATTTAAATGGGGAAAAGCTCACAAGACTTCACGATTAACTTTTTCTGTTAAACAACGAATAGGTGAATAGCTGTGCAGTCACATTTATGTTTGAAAGTCTCATTATTACCACTGCAGGCATGCAACACGGACAAGATAAGCAGACATGTTGTTTCTTAAAGAACTACCAAAAAGTAAATCCATTATGAATGTCTGCAAAACAGTGACTACTTGTACATACCATTTCTGAAACATCTGGCATTGATACACACAAGCCAGTGTCATATAGATCCTCATTCAATTAGTTTCGCTCATGGTGATAAACTTTAGATGAGCAGTATCTTGACATGATGCTATGTGTGCATAGTGTACGTGTGTGAGAGCCTGTGTATGTAATAACACCAGATAAAAAGAATGAGAAGTCCTTACACAGAGCATGCTCTCTGCTTATGGTGGCAGGCAGTTAGTCATGATGATTTTGACTTTTTATGCTCTTAAAGCTGCCCAGTGCCACTGCTTGATAAGGACAAATGCACATGTCCTGTCATGCGCCCTCCATGCAGTGGATTCCTTCTACTGCTGGTGCCTTTTCCAGCATCACTGGTGGCTAAACAGTCTAGAGACTTTATAAGCTGTAAGTTAGTAACCCTAGATAGTACTACCATGCATTCAGAAAGTATTCAGACCCTTGAATATTTTTCACATTTTATGTTGTAGCCTTATGCTAACATCAGTCTACACTCCACCACACTCCATAATAGAAAAGCAAAAACAAGATTCGTGATAACTTTGCAAATTTAGTATTCAAGTATTCAAACCCTGGACTTGAACCTAATCAAACATCTCTGGAGAGAGCTAATGTCTTTTGATCAGTGGTCCTCATCCAACCTGACTGAGCTTGAGAGGAACAGAATTCACTACTGATCCACTTATGAAATCAATCCTCAATTCCTTTTCATGTACAGTGTGCTGACCTGTAAGATAAAGTGTGCTCTTGTGCTGCACAGAGCCGGACTCAGAGGTGTATGTGGCCACACAGGTGAGCTCACTGATGTTGACATTTTCTGGCAGATATACTCGATTCCCCAGCATAAAAAACTTGCCAAGCTTCTTGACAGAACTGATGTTGGAGGGAAAGTTTAAGGCAGGTTCCCAATGAAGAGTGGGTGCTTTCATTGTATATGTGGATTCACAGACAGCAATCCTTTGATTGTTTTCTCTGTACTGCTTGGTGGAAACGTTGATAACTAAAAACAAAGAATTTTAATTTAATTTTTTCATCAGTAACACCATTTGCTTCATTTTTAGCTTTACATATTTTTTGTACAGTGAACTGGATTCATCACTGGTTTATCACTACAGTAAAAGTTTGAGAGATGATCAAGTTCTCAGCTAGAAATAAGTTATCAGTTAGTGGCTTTACACCTAGCCTATGATGTAAACCTGTTATGTAAATGCAAAACATTATCATAGTTTTTGCAATAGTTTTACTAAATTGTGTTTGTACTCACCACTTACAGTCACATTTAGTGCAGAGCTTCCTCCTTTATATGATACATCACAAAAGTAAAATCCTTCATCTTCTATTGAAATCTTGGGAATGAATAGGGAAACTCCATCTGAGGTGTTGTTCAGCTTCTTTCCATCATTGCATGTGTCGTCCAGCTTGGGTGACAAACCAAGCCAACAATTTCTGTCTTTCTGGCTGATGTTCCAGATGATATAAATTAATTCATTCCATTTGACAACAGTGAGGTTGTCACATCGTAAAGTCACATCGCTGCCTGAAATAAAGGTCTGCTCTTGGAAAACTGAAAACAAAATTAGATTAAATATTGATTTGGAGTAAAATTTTGAAACTTTTGGGTGAATATAATATATAATATAATATAAATATAACATTTGGGTATAGTGACACATTTTGATTTTTTCTTCTTTTTCTCTATACATTAAACGTATCTCTCCCAGCCATGCCAGACTACTTTTATCCTTTGATGTGTCTTTTACTTTAACCCTAAAATAGTTAAAACATACACAGCAGCTCTATTCTGGCAATAGATGTAACACATATTGGGCTATGGGCTATTATCTCCACATGCAAAGCAGCTAGTTTAAAAATCGAATGTATGTAAAATGGTGATTCTATAAAATTCTATAAATAGTTTGACAATTAATGTTTTCTCAATGTTAAGCACTTGCTTTCACTGACCATCATTCATTAACAAATAAGCTTTTAATCATTGTATAATTTTAGTTAAAGTCATTTGTAGATTTTTTTTAAAGTGCATGATCATATGAATTGAAAGTATAACGACATTTGTAAGGATTAACTAATGATCTGTTAAGCATTATATAATGTTTGTTAATGATCTATTAATGAAGCTTTTAATATACTGTAAACATCTGTCAAAATCATTTGAAGATTTTCAAAAAGTGCATCATCATATGAATTAAAAGTTTATTGACATTTGTAAGCATTTACATTTACATGAAATAATGATCTGTTAATCATTAGGTAATAAACATTAACAAGCACATTATCTCATATTTCTAGCTATGTGAATACATATATATATACACACACACACACACACACACACACACACACACTAATGATCTGTTAAACATTATATAATGTTTGTTAATGGTTTATTAATGAAAGGGTTTCACTTTATTTTGATTGTCCCTTTAACACATTCGGTTGACTATAAGCAACGTTGCACCTACATGTCTACTAACTCTCATTAGAGTATTAGTAGAGTATTAGTAGACTGGTAGGGTTAAGGTTAGAATAAGTTGACATGTACTTGCAAAGTTACTTATAGTCAGTAGAATGTCTGTTGGGAGACCATGACAATAAAGAATTAGCAGATATTAAGCAAACAGTCTACTAATACTCTGTTAGTTAACATGTAGGTGCAACATTATTTATTGTCAACAGAATGTTCAAAAGGGACCATCAAAATAAAGTGTTACCAAAAAGTTATTATAAAGTGTTGCCAATTAAGAGTATTTAATCTAGCCTTTGGTTTGCCTTCCTGCCACAAAGATG